TTCCTAACATTTTACACACCTTCAGCGTCTCTGCACTCACAAAGTAGCCTATGATTCCCGCACAAATATCCCAGGACACTAACAAATGAGAAGTTCGGAGGTCAAAACCATCTGTGGGGGGAAGCTGTGGTGTGTTTCTAGGGCCTGTCTCCTCAAAGACCACCTTCCCACCCACTTTCTGGGCAACCCTCAGAGGATGGCAGCTGCGAACTTAAAAAAAAAAAAAAAAAGTGCATGGTGGAGGAGGCAAAAAGGATTATTTTTAAGAAAGAGCACAATCTAACTTTTCTCTCCACCACCCACTCCACACCACCTCCTCATTCCCTTGTCTCTCCTCCTGCTTGCTCTTCCATTTCACTCTTCTTCCCCAGCCTCTCGCCGCATTGCTCAGTGAACCACACCTCGCATGCGTTTCCTTCTCTGTGGCCCCAGCTGGGCCAGCGGTTCGGGTACCACACTGGGAAAGAGCAGCTGTGTAAGGACTCGGGGCTGCCGCCAAGCTCGGAGGAACAACCCTAGCTCCTCCTCAAGGCTCCAGATATGTGGGAACCAAAACCTGCATTCACTTTTTAGAAGCGCTGCCTTGACAGGAGAGCCATGAAGAAAGGAAGCAGCACCTCTGTTATGAGCCAAATGAACCTGTTAATTATGTCATCTTCCTGATGTGCCTAACTACTGGAAGATACTTGGCTTATTTCTTCTTCTAAATGCCCTTAATTATTCAATTCCATGCTTTAATACGGCTTCTGGAGCTGAGCTGTCTGAATTCTGCGTGGAATTGTAAGCACTTTTAAGTGTACATGATGAATCCATGTGCCCTGTGGATGAATTTCTTCCATCAGCTGTGGGCGACAAGCAACTCAACACACTCGGGAGTCATCTACCCAAACCAAGATACCACTTTAACAATAGTTAAAATAATGAGGCACTTTCCAAAGTGGAATAATTAAAAGTTAGGACCAGATTTTATGTGGCGCGGGAAGAAGGCAGAGCAGGGAAATATAAAGATGATGTGCAAGGATTAAAAACAAGAAAATCAGCTAGACCTTTATCAATTAATGTGAACTACTCAGACCAATAAAAGCAACATTTGTGTCTTCCTCTATAGTAATCCATCCACTCAATTACTCTTCAAGAAGCATTTATTAGGCACATCCTATGTGCCAGGCACTGTGCTAAGTGCCAGAAATAGCATAGTGAACAAGACAAATCTGATCCTCTCACTCACTGAGCTAACAATCTAGCATCAACACAAGACAAAACTGCAGGCTCACAGAATCACAAGTTGAAGCAAACAGTATGAAGGAAAGAAAGAGCTGAGAAAGAATGACACTGGAGAACGTATGTTAGATAGAGTAATAGGAAAAGGCTTGTCTCCACAACATATGAAAGCTAGAACATGGGACACCTGGGTGGCTCAGTCAGTTAACGGTCTGCCTTCCGCTCAGGTCATGATCCCAGGGTCCTGGGATCCAGTCCCTCATCAGGCTCCTCGCTTAGTGGGGAGTCTGCTTTTCCTTCTGCCTGCCGCTCTCCCTGTTTGTGCTCACTTGCTCTCTCTCTCTCTCTTTCTCTCTCTCTCCCCCTCTGACAAATAAATAAATAAAATCTTAAAAAAAAAAAAAGCTAGAACATAAAGGGAAAGAAAAGCTAACCAGGACAAGAACGGGGTGACCATTCCAGGAAGACAGGACTATATGTGCAAAGGCCCTGAGGCAGAAAGGGTTTGGGCACCAAGGAACTGAAATATCAGTGTGGCTGAAGTAAAGTGAGCAAGACGAGAATGACACATAGCAGGACTCGTGAAACACTGTGGACCATGATGCCCAATCAAGATTTTATTCTAGGGACAAGAGGAAATTTTCAGCGGAAGAAGGGCATAACTCAATTTACACTTTATAATGATCACTGTTGCCTCTGGGTGGAAAAAGACTTGAAAGTGGAGTTTGTTGCAAATGTCTAAGCAAGAGATTCCCTGGACCCGAATGTGGCAGCAAAACTGAAGAGGAATAGACAGATTCAGACATATTTTAGAAGTAGAACCAATAAAAGTCATTGAAGGATTGTATTTGAGGGTGAAATAAGGAAAGAATCAGAGACGAACTCTCATCAAGTTACTCTATTTATATACAGGGTTTTTCCAGAAGTTACAAGCATCACCTGATATAATGTCAGGCTCATGCAGGAATCTGATCTATGGGAGATGGTATGCCTGTATGTGCATAAGGATCTCAAACACCTGGACCCAAGAATAACAGAAACTCTGTGTAGCTGTTCTTGAGAGATAATAATGGTATACTAGGCAGATATTTCAGTGAGTTTTCCCATAAGAATTTTATTGTCATGTTGGTGCCACAGCCCTGTAGCTTCCCCAAAAACCTAGGGTTAAATGCCTTTCTATATGTGAGTGCAACAAGGCTCACTTTCACATACAAGTGCTCCAGATAAACCAGTGACCAATCCATTTAGTCTCCATGATAAGCAGTAAAGAAAATATAAATTTCTAAGAGGACCTTCATATCAAATTGGATGACCCATTGGGGTGCCTGAGTGGCTCAGCTGGTTAAGCATCCAACTCTTAATTTTGGTTCAGGTCATGATCTCAGGGTCGTGAGATGCCCGGGGGAACTGAGCTCCATGCTGGGTGTGGAGCCTGCTTGAGATTCTCTCTCTCACTCTCTCTTTGCCCCTCCCCTGCACGTGCTCTCTCTCTCTCTCTCCAAAAAATAAATAAATAAATAAATAAATAAATAAATAAATAAATAAATAAATCAGCAATGCTCTTTAAAAACAATTGGATAACCCAAGTCAAGTATGTTGAGGCATATTACAAGCATAACTTATTGACTAGCAAGAAAATAACTATAAAATGCACATTTACAAATAATTTTCTTATGATCATTGAACAATTGGGTCCTTAACAACAGTTTCCCCATATGACCCCTTCAGAAACTGAGTATACAACACAATACAGTACACCCCAGGGAAGAGACCTCAGAGGGTAAAAAGAATGGACTGCCTTGTTTATTTTACATGCTGCATGCAAGCTGGTCCCCAACTGCCACAGAAAGCAATAGGCCCCCCGTGGTTGGTGCACATTTAGTCTCAGCACCTTTCTGATCTGTTCATTCCCTTTTACCTCTTGAGTGTTACTGGCATTGTTTCTGTTGCCCTTCCTAAAAAGCTGGTACATAATTATCTCAAAAGCCCTTGGCCCATTCGTCTAGATGAGCATCTCTCACCTTTTTAGTATTTATAGTGACCATGCACTCTCGTTCATACTCTGCAGAATGAGAGATGACTCAGAGACAGAGGGAGAGAGCGAGAGATCTACACACACACACACACACATACACACACACATGCACACACAAGGGGAGACCTCTGGTTCTGGCGCAGGCTTCACCAAAACAGACAGCAAATATAGATAAACAGTAGTAATTTATTTGGAAAAGGGTGTAATCTTTTCTTCCTGCAGACTATTAACTATGACCTTTTTTTTTTAAAGATTTTATTTATTTATTTGAGAGAGAATGAGAGCACGAGAGGGAAGAGGGTCAGAGGGAGAAGCAGACCCCCCGCTGAGCAGGGAGCCCGATGCAGGACTCGATCCCGGGACTCCAGGATCATGACCTGAGCCGAAGGCAGTCGCTCAACCAGCTGAGCCACCCAGGCGCCCAACTATGACCTTTTTTACCTGCATTTCAAGGACTTTGCTTGAATCAGGCCCCATTATTTTAGTCAGTATATGAAGGATTCCTTTCAGAAAGGCTTTTCCCCAACATTCTAATGAAAAGTACAGAATTCTTTCCTCCTGCCCTTTGGTCCTTCCTGTCTTACATTTATTCTAATATCCTTAAGTTTTAATTTTGTGGTCTATCTCCAAGCTTTCCTCCAACCTTTGCCCTCTAATCTGGTGGTCCATCTGTACTGTTTCTCTTAGGATAGTACTTCCCTAGCTCCTAAGCCACCTGCTCAGTTTCAGTGGTGAGACTATTCGAGAGTCACAGATTCACCTCACTACACTTCACACCCTCTTTAATTTAACTCTGTAAATTCACTTTTCAACACTCCTGAGCCATTAATTCTAATTTGGCCTCTCATCACCTGCAAGGACTGAGCCGGATCTTTATCTGTGCCACCCATAGTGCATTTTATTGCAGGTTCCATATTTCTGCAACTGTAGCGAAAAGATGAAGAATGTACAGAGCTCTGCCAACATGAAAAGCTGTCACTACGTAGCTCCTGTTGGGGAATCTTCCAAAACTGGCATGTGTTTCTTTTGCTTCTCCCTTCTTCACATATTCATTCTCACTTCAGCCACAAAGCTCCCCGGATAGCCAAATATTCTCCACATCAAGAGAAGCAAAAGCAACATATGCATACACCCAAATACACAGTCCACCCTATCAACTGAATCCTTGGGTGTTTGTTCTCTGAGCTCTCATTACCCTGTTCTCAATAACACTTCTATCCAACGTATGATATTTAATATGTTCAACATTTCAAGAACTGTATCACTCTACATTCTTCTCTGACTCACAGGATGCTTTTCCACTCGTCCTTTTCAAATCATCGACCTCGTCTAAAACCTGGTTAAACACCATCTATCACCCTATCAACGTCATATGTACATATGGTTCTCATCTTGACCTACTCTCTTAAAAGAACCTATTTGGAAGCAATTCTTTGAGTCTTCCAGTTACTACTGATTACTGTACTTAAATACCATGTATAACACTCTGCCCTACTTCACGAGTCAAAACGTAGAATACACAAGCATGCCTAAGCTTTCTCAGATCTTTTCAGAATCTTACCAGATCTCCTGCTAGAACAACCTGCTAGGACAAGAAAGGAGTCCCACAGACATTATCCTTTAAGAGGAGACCATCCCAGTATGATCGTGCCCCTCCCCATTAGTCACAAGATCCTAAAAGGTGTCTTTCCCAAGGATGTGGGAGTGAGGCAGAGAAAAGCAGCAACACCCAGGGAGTACTCACTGAGAGGTTTCAGGATGCTGCTGCTGGATTCATCAGCATTTTCCACATCTGACTTATCAGAGTAGTTCTCAGAGATTCTTTCTTTCTCCTTCTTTTCTTTGTGCCCTGTCTTTCTCTTGTGGCGTCTCCTTCTCCTGTAGCTCTTCGGCACATGGACCCCAATGTAGATGGTATGGTGACCTAAGAAGGTACACAGATCATCAGTCATTTCAAAGCACAGTCTCTGCTGCATATAAGTTTCATAAGCTCCTCAGGCCAGAAGAAAATGTCTATGGATTCATTACCACTTTATATTTGACAAAGAAACTGGAAAAATAAAATCTCTTCCCAATTTTCAGTTCGCGAGAGTATAATTCAATCCGTTGGCTGGCACTAGGATTCTGCGAGGGTGTACTCCAGTTCTATTCAAATAGACTCCTTTTAAAAGTTTAGGGAAACCAAAAAATACCAAGCCAGAAATCAGGAATCCTTGATTCTGGTCCTACCTCCATCATCAATTAGCTATTTGACCTTGAGCAGGTCCCTTCACCATTCTGGGCCTCCATCTCGTCATTTGTATAACAAGAGGCTTACATTGGGTGATCCCTGGAGACCTTTCCAGTTCTAACCTTCCTGAGTCTGTGACTGTACCGAACAGGGTGCTGAAAAAGGAGGTCTGGGAGCAGCAAAAAATTAAAATCTAACTCAAAGTTCAAGAAGTCATTCTGCTGGGGATAAGCTTTTGCATTAAAACTTTTTCTTTTTCTTTTTTTTTTTTTTTTTTTTTACCAAATCAGCAGAATAGAGACTTAGAACTGGGACAAATTGAGAAAAAATAAGACATACTTGGAGAGAAGATTTTAGAAATACTCAAATGTTCACACTAGGAAACAGCTAAAATGAATGTCAGTTACAGTACCATTCTCATTTTTCTTTTTTCGTTTCTAAAAGTTTCTAAAAACTGGTTGTTGCAATGATAAAAATAAACGCAGCCCAGCAAAAATTGCCTTGAAGAGAAGGGCATGAGGAAAAAAGATTGTGAAATGCTTTTAGTTCTCTAGATGGAAGAAGCTGCAAAACTGACAAGTGATATTATTTTTACAAAATCTGATAAGACAGAAAAAAAAAGAAAGGAACTCAAAGTTCCACATCTTTTTTTTTTAATTGGGAAACTTTTACTTTCACCTTATATACAGCATAACTTCTGAAACTATAGGAGACTCTTAATCACAGGAAACAAACTGAGGGTTGCTGGAGGGGAGGGGGGTGGGGGGATGGGGTGGCTGGGTGATGGACACTGGGGAGGGGTATGTGTTGTAATGAGCACTGATGGTATTATATAAGATTGATGAGTCACAGACTTGTAACCCTGAAACAAATAATACATTATAAGTTAATTAATTGAATTTAAATTTTTTTAAAAAGGTAAAAAAAAAACATAAATCATGGGAATAAAAGGCATAACACAGGGAATATAGTCAGATATTATAACAGTGTGGTTTGGTGACAGATGGCAGCTATACTTGTGGTGAGCACACATATTGTATAGAGAAGGTGAATCGCTATGTTGTACACCTGAAATTAATGTAATATTGTGTGTCAATTATACTCAAAAAATTAATTATTTGGGAAAAAAAAGAATGTGGGAACCACCATCTCGGAAGTAATGTGAAAACTTTTTTTTGAGCTGCGAATTAGATGAGATTAATCTCATCTTTCCCACTTCCTATCCTATTCGAGAATTACTCCTTGATGACCACTTTAGAATGCCATGGATAATACCACACACCTAACATGCAATACATATACACGCAGTATGTCTAATATAAACTGCTGTGAGTTACTTTCCACAGTAACTCATCAGGCATATCTAAAAACACTCTCATTCACAGCGGTGTTCCCTTAAATTGGAAGGATTAAAACAATTATATGCTCCTTTAGGAGAGAGCTTCCAACTAAGGAATGCAGATCCCTAAGTGAATGGGTTAGCATTCCAAAAAAAAAAAAAAATCTGGTATTTGGAATGAAGTTGGAGGCATCTATATAAAGTATGAAACTCCCCCCAACACACACAGACACACACACACACCAACTCAACTATTACAAAGCACAGTGAAATTCTCCTCACAGAATGAGTGCCAATGAGAAATTTATCGTGTCTAACCATTTGGGAGCAAACTGTTCTCATGGGAAAGCTATATTCTCCTAGGAAGTAGGAAATGTCTCAGAAACAATGTGAATTAAGAAACAGTGTCAATTGTTTCCTGTACTCCAGTTACTGAGGGAGTCCTGCAGCTTTATCTCGAGTCACACAATATATGTAAGCAAAGCCAACCAATTTCTAGAGTAAATCAAACACTGAGAGCTTGGTTGCTTTCGTTCAGGAATCAGGAAAACATCATGAAAAGAATTAAGAGGTTAGAAAATTTTAAAACCTGTCATATTAAATATTTTCTACATCTTATTAAATAATGGCAACTAAGCAAAAAAAAAAAAAAGTCAGTGAAGCTACATTAGTCATACTGATATTACACAGAAAGATTTTTTTATTTACCCACAGTGTCTTTGATAAGTCACTTAAAAGATAGTTCATATGGGCTGATAGGATTTTAAGGTAAGATTTCTGACTATAAACTGTTGTTGTTGTCAACCTAACCAAAGAGGGTGATTCAGAGAGTGAGCTTTCAAAGCCCACGGAGAGGAACATACCTGACCTTCTGGGACCTAACTGGAGTTACACCACCACAAAAATGGTGCCACTTTATTCACACCATGGTCACATGCTTTCCCACGAGTCCCCACCCACTCCCCCGCCACTTTATAAAGAAGATTCAGCTTACCCCCATCTCCTCTAGCTCCTGCCTCAGGTGCTCCCCCCAACACATACCCTTCACGCACTTTCACATAGGTGGGGAAGCTTTCAGATAATGATGATGCTCTCTGGAGCCCAGATACTAAGAACTGCAGTTCCTGGCAAGACACCCCAAATTTCAGACATTTTTTTATCAGCTTTATTGAAGTATAATTTACATGCATAAAATTCACTCATTTTAAGGGTACAAGTCAAAGATTTTTAGTATATTTACAGAGTTCTGCAACCATCACCCTAATCAACTTTAGAATTTTTCCACCAATCCAGGAAGATCCCTCCTGCACATGGGCAGCAGTGTACCTTCCGCGCCCACCCCCATCCCATACAACCACTCCTGATACTCTCAGTGATGGCCTCTGGTAAGCTACAATTCTCTGGTAACCACATAGCTGTGACCTCTTATGTGGGCATCCTTACAGCACAGTAGAATAGAATATTCCCCGAGTAAAGAAGATACTGCTTTCCAAGAGCTGCCAAAGGAAATCATGACACTGGGCAAAACTCAAAAGCATCCTCCTTTTCTTCTCACACATTTCCGGTAACTAAATTTTCCTTTTCTATCTTGGGTTCAGGGAGAAGAGAAAGAGCATGGTCCTGCGGTTAAATAAACCTTTAGGAACTCAGGGACAGTGCTTGTGTTGCATCAATTACCTCTTGGTCACTGTCCACTTCAGCTTCTTCGCCCACGGGAGGAGAGCAAGACACCCTCACTCTGGAGAGTGAGGAGAAGGCGTGCTTTCTCAAGGTGATGACCAAATATTTCATAAGCTGTACATGCCAAGTAACAAAAATACCAAAAGTAAAATGAGCTCAAATGGAAGATTCTTTCTTGCTGCTCCCACGGAATACCTGTCTTCGGGAAGCAGAATTACTGATGAAAATATACTATTGTTGATAAGACTCTCCTAGGTGGATTTCAATATTTATTTTCAATAAAATATCTTAACCTGTCTCACAGATATGTCATGAAGATTGATGGCTATTTTTAAAATTGCAACTCATAAAAATGACAGCAAGCACTTAGGTAATCTATAAAGGTTGAGGGTGTAGTATTATTATACATATAAAATAAAAAATGAGAAACTTGACAGACAAGTTTTCCAATCCAGCAAGAGTCTACAAAACCGTAGATGCTAAAAGAATCAGGGACAGTTACCTGCTTAACTTGTAAAAGAATTTTAGACTAAAAATATATATATATATATGATATATAAATATTATATATATATATATAAAATCAAATAAAACCTCTCTGCTAGAAATGTCACCAAAAACTGCTTCCAAAATTTCACCAAAAACTTCCTAAGGAGAAGCAATAATTGTTTTTAAATAGCTATAATTCATAAGAAAAGGTGATTTTTTTCAACTACACTCAAGTAGAAAAAAAATTTAAGGTGATTGCATTAAATATTATTAAAATAAAGCTTGCATTTTTGCTACGAAAATTGTAGAAAGGAAAACCACTGGAATCTACATTTGATGGTGTTCATTTAGGTGTGAGTCAAAGGGCATTCAGTCTTTGATTTGGCAGTGGCCTCAGTATCATGTGCTCAAATAAATACCCTGCATGCCTTTCTCTGACAGATGGTATAAGTTCCCAACAAACTCTAAATGTCTTGGGAATATCTCATACTCCATCCCACAGCCAGCACTACTGGGAAGAACACATGGCTTTCCTAGTTATCTCTGAATGTCAGAAAGTATTACTAGGTGATGCTTACATCTTCCCATCCTCACCTGCTCCACCTCAGCTGAAAGCAGAAGTACTGCAATGCTATCATGTCCAATTCTTCCAATTCCTGAGATACTTCTAAATTCATGTCATTGATAGCTGGGATCATGTTTTCAGACCAACAGAGAACTCTTACACTTAGTATCTCTGTAGTTATTCGAGTTAAAGAGGCTTTCACAGACACCACCAAGGATGATTTAGAATTTTGTAGAATTAAACCCATCAAACCAAAAGAGGGTTTTATACCAGCCAAACTCAAAATTCTATAAAGGACTGGGTAGTTAAAACACCATATGCCTCTATATGCAAGATCGATCTATTAGCTCCTTTAGGAAACATATTACTATGTTTAATGTACATACAGATGATAGCAACAATTTGTTGGATACTTACAAATGTGCCAGGTTCTGGCTAAGTCTCTTATATCTATTACCCCATGCAATCATCACAACTGTACAAATTCGATACTATTATCCTAATTGTACAGGAAAGAAACCAAGGTTCAGGGAACTCATGGATACCGTCACCGTCACCGGCTAACTCATTAAATCCCAGAGGAGAAATAGGTCTCAGGTGTCAATATCAAGAACAGTGAGT